TCTTTAATTTTCTAAACCCATAAATTAGTTTAAACTGAAAGCCTGAAGCTTGAAGAAACTTCAGTAAATAATTTGGAAATATTTACTCCTTTGTTTTATGTTATCCTAATAATTCTTTGAGGTTGTTCTGGCTCATACATAAGCTTTTCTTTGAAAAGATGCATTTATTGAGGATAATGGTTTGTGAAAGACTTTAGAGTATTTTAAATTTGTCTATTAATCAGTTCTTTGCATTGAGTTAATCCAAATTTGCCCTGCAATTTGCAATAGCAAAGTCACTTTATGGATCCTATTTCTCCCTATTTTTATTTATATATAAAAATTTGTTTTAACAAAAACGTTTTTGCTATTTTAAGTATGATGTGAGTGTTTTAACTTTTATAGTTGATAATTTAGGTTAGCACAAACAAAACTCCTTTCTCACTTTTCTCAGTCCTCTCTCGAGGTGCTTTACTGATGGGAATGATTTCCATACATTCCCTTGGTACCAAAAGGTACTATGCAAAGTAACATTACATCAGGTTACATGCTAGGCTTTCCTCCCTAAAATACAGTAAAAGCTTGTTTCATCAAGCATAGGAGTAGAAATTAATTAAAATTGCTTTATTAATAAGAGTCAATTCCTGTTGACCCAGGTCGTATTCTTCTGATTTCTCTTCCTTTTCTCTATTTTATGACCCTGAAAACAACATGTTAATTCCATTGTGGTTTGTATTTTATTGTGTGATTATGTCATTTGGTGGCTGGCTAGTTGAGTCAAGATTTGTACTGAGTGTTCAGAAATTCCAGTTGGTAAAATGCCAGATAACACAGCTTTCCTGTAAATAGATCACTACTGGATAATCAGCAAAGATCTCTCTTGTAACCTAATAATATATGCTTCATTCAGCAGAAAGTCTGCTCAAAAGAATCTTCATAGTAGTACATTTAGGTTTTAAAAATGAGGTAAAGATTTTAAAAATTAGTTTCTTAGGTATACATATCCTCTCTAGTAAGTTGGGCCAAAAAATACAGATTTAGTTTATTTATAACTGATAATTTTCCACTTTTTCTAACCACTAGAATTTTTATGTTCTCACTAAAGTGCCTGCCCAGCACTGTACACTAAAGACTCTATCACAACACTACGAAAAGGGATTGTCATGAGTACAATATTAATGTGGACAAAATAATGTTATTTCTTTCATATAAGAACATTGCAAGTTCGTTTTATCTGGGATCCGTTCTTCCACCTAATGTTCATCTAGTTCTGGTAGCTCTTCCAGTCTTTCTTCTTTTTGGTTCCATTTCTGTGCTCTTTATTTCTACTGATGTTTTGTGATAATTAACTATGATACATTTAACCAATCATGATTTAATTTCTAGAACATTTGAATAATGTATAAATGGCATAGTTCCCAATTTTAAACATTAAGTATGTAATCTGGGCATAGAATTTAAAGTGAAATTGCATTAAAACATAGGACAACTGGTCCATTTTGAAAGTGAGAAACTTAAATATTGAAAATATTCAAACTGGAATGGCAGTATTTTAACCTAATATCGGTTAATTGGTTTATATTATTTTACCTATTAGATGTTTTAAATGGCAGTTACTTTTATTTGTATCTACTCTATGGTGGAAATGTTAAATCGTAATAGCTTTTGCTACGAACTCTCAACCACTTAATTTTTAGAGTAGAATATATATTTCAGGGGGATTTTATTTCACCTGAATTTAGAAGTAATGTCAGAAAATGTTAAGCATGTCCTTCTTAAGAAAATATAAGGTTTCTAATTGTCTTATTACCATGGTAATTCAAGTGAATTAGAAGTATTCAACTGCAATCTTGAATTATAAAGTTGGGATGCATATATATGCATATATATCAGAGTCTCAACTGATGTAAAGTAAATGAGCAGTTACCTGGTGGATTCTTTTTTTTTTTTTTCTTCTCTCCAATAACTGGCTTAACCTACACTTCCACAACAAACTTAGCTTCATTTCAGTATTTACTTTATTGTTCATCGAACAATGCTCCAAAAAGGAACATTAGGAAATGGCTGAGAATTATTAAGATTTTATTTTATTTTTGGTCAGAAAAATGTTTCTAGGGTCTTTGAATGCTCGATTTTTTTTTTTATTATTTTTTTTTTTTTGTCTTACCCATCCATGGCAGCTATAAAAATAAAAAAATAAATAAAAATATTCAGGTTTACATGTTAGCTCTCTTTATAGGGAGTTGCCATACCTCACAATTCAAAGTGTATTCTATAGATCAGTACATTATACTGATGTGTAATTGCAATTTACTATGCAGCAAAAATTCAAGAAAAATAACCTACAGTGTCTACTTACCTTTGTATAGGCAATTGCTTAAGTTACTCTGCTTTTAACATTTGTACTTAGACAAAATGCTTATGTATGTTTAGGAACGTCACAGTGCGAGATGCTGCTAGCCCAGACACAAAGTATTAAAATTATTTTGTGAAGATTGGTGGTTGTATTAAAACTATTGTGCCGTTATACCTCAAAATGATTGAAAAGCTCATTTATACTGCTCATGCTTCGGAATTTATTTAGATTGTTGGCTTCTAGGTAGAAGTAACTTAGTTTTATTCCCACAGATTAAGAAGGATAAATGAATATTGGAAATTGATAAGCACTTAAAGAGTATCTTCCAATACATTATGAACACACACAAACTATGGTCAGTAATCAACGCAAGGTGCAAATTTCAGTTCAAGTATATTTTAATTTATCAAGTTTAAAGTTTGGAGTTAGGAAATACATGCCTGAAAGAAATGGTAAGTGCTCTATGCACAGTTCCCATCCCATTAAAAAAATACTTCTTGCTTTGTGCCTCTTCTCCCCATTAGTTCACCTACATACTATTCTTCATCAAATATAAGATGCCATTCATTACTAGACCAATATTTTAGATACTACTAAAAGGCAAAGTATTATTGAATAAACTATGACATGCCCTTGATCATAAAATACACCCAGATTACCAAAATGTTAACGTGTCCAAAAAATGCATCTTAGAATCAATGATATACAAATAGAAGATATGTGGGGCACAATAAAAATCACACCTTCCATTGCATTATACTTTTTCAAAAGCAAACAATGCTCAAATTTGTGAATATAGTTAAATAACATGTTTTTATTTTTACTCAAATTTACTAACAATGTGGCTTAGAAAATCATAAACATACTGATTAATTGATATAGAACATAATTTTCCTCATGACACAATTAAAATATTTTTTCCTTTCACCATTATCCCCTCTATGCCCTCTTCCACTTCCTCCCATCCCCCTCCACCCTTCCAATCCCCCACACCCTGAGCTGTCTGCCTGCTCTCTATGCTCATAACATAATTTTTATATTCTATATCTTGCTTGTAGCTATTTCCTTTAGGGGGGTATATAAAGTAAGACCTTAAGAACACCATTTAAAGGAATTTGTTGGGGAGGGGGGAAAAAAAGGAGTTTGTTGAAATGCCAACTTTGTACATAGTTTTACATCAAATTGTCCAGTGGTCAGAAATGTAATAAAAGAATTTTATTTTGCCTTTTATTAGGCTTATTATCTAACATGGGTATACTTGGTAAACCTGTCATGGCATTAGAGACAGTTCAGTTCATCCATATAGGTCATCAGTGGGTAAATAGTTCACACACTATTGGTGAAGGGCTTCTATGGTTTCACTCACTCATTCATTAAATATGTTTTTATTGATTTTGGAGAGGGTGAGAAAGAGAAAGATCAATGTTAGAGAGAAACATCAGTTGGTTGCCTCCCTTACACAACCCAACCAGGGATCAAACCTGAAACCTGGGTATGTGCCCTGGATGGGAAAGGAACCAGTAATCTTTCAGTGCATTGGATGACTCACAACCAATTGAGCCACACCAGCCAGGGCTGGGCTTCTATGGTTTTAGAAACCAATTTTAATTACTGCATGGAGAGAAAGCCAAAATCCAATTGAGGTAGGTCTGAACCAACGGATGAGAAACAGGTGATTTTTGCTTTCCAAATTCATTTTATAAAGAGTACACAAAACTAATGTTATGAACCATGACTTGACATAATAGTTCAAAAGAAGACTCAAGAAAAGCAGACATTAGGATTCTAACAAAAGACTATTCACCATATGAACAGGTTTAATGATGTAACATGGAATGCAAAAGATTAGAACCATTAATAACATATCTACTAATATCTGCTTCCACTTAAAAACAAACAAAAAAGGATAGTGAGCAGAATAATAGTTCTATTATATGCCAGGATTTGCTAACTCATTGTTTTAAAGTACCTTATATTTGCTCTTACTTTAAATAAATACTATATTTTACACATAACACAGGTGGCACTTTGCCTACATTAGAATTATATAAACATTTAGATGTACATTTACATTGTTTTATTATGAGTTATCACATTTTATAAGTTAATTTTCATTTCTATTTTAAAAGATTGGCCAGATTATTTGTCAATACAGCATTAGGATCAACAAATGTACTGAACTACATGTAGTTATGTCTAATGTATCCAATTTCAAGTAATATATGGGAAATTACATTCATTCATTCATATTTAAATGTTTCTTTGAACCAAAATACTAATTTTAAGAATGTGGTCAATAGTCTTATTCATTGAATGCGTTTCTTAAAATGAGCAGTACAGATAGCAAACACGTAACTCCTCTCCTATAGTCTACCAAGAAATAAAGCCAAATTTTAGAAAAATACAATGCAAGAAAAGATTCAAGTTAAAAATATATTCCTTTGGTTAAAAATTATCCTCTATAATATTTATTTGTAACCTAAATTCACAGCATGTTCCACCAGCCCAAAGTAATCTTCTAAATGTCACATCTGTTGTACTACAATGGTTTTTCAACCCACTATTTGTGGAGGTCACTGGGTTGAAGCAAACTATTTTAACTTTAGGAAGGGTATACAATCTTGTTGCATTAACTCCTTTGACAAATGTCTTTTTTAAAAGATCTTTACTTTAGGAACCTTTGATACATGTAGTTTTCTTCAGATACTGTATATCCAAACTTTTTATAGAAACCAACGTTTTTTGGTAGACATTCAAGGGTAATCTTATAACAGTTCAATTTCTTGCTTAGCAAAGTAAGGGTTGATAATAACCTGAAATTATAAGAAAAGGGAGGGAGAAGGCATAGAACATTAGTTAATTGAAATAGATTTTAGTAACAATATGAATATTTCATGAAATTTCAAATTTATATTAGAAATAAGTTTAGGTCATGGCCATTGCCACTATATGTTCATTTAAATATTGTAAATGGATAAGCATTTAAATCACTGAAAGCATTTTAATTTGTTTCAAATATATACTACCTGATAATCTTCAGCCAGTTAATGAATGGGGACAAATACTAATTCACCCTAAATAAGTTTTAAGATGATAGACACTAAAGATTGTCAATCATTTAAAAAATATGGCCTATATCATTTTTTAAGTGTTTATCTCGAAATCTATTCAAACTACGTAGGAACAGTCAACATTCCCACACAAAATTGGTAAGTAATAGCTTTGTTCTTTATCATTTTCAAAATGACTAATGTTTGTGAAAGTAGGTGTGAGATTAACTCTGTTTTGGTCTAATATGAGGCAGAAAAAGCAAAAAGGTATACTTCTTTCCAATATATGAATGGGATTCTAACTGCCTTGGGGGTTTTAAAAAACCTATAAAAGTTTACATAAAGTGTTTTCTCATGTTTGCATAAACTGAAAAATCCCATCAATTTGAAGACAGAACATTTTGATTTAAGTTATAAAGTTATAAAGGATATCACAAAGCAAAAAACTAGAATATTAGAATTTGGTCCGTTTTTAAAATTTTTAAGTAAGTGTATAAAGGATTGTACAGTAAAGACTTCTATAATATGTTTCTAAAACTTAGAAGACTGAGAACATTTTGTTTTAAAATATGACAGAGAAATGGGGAAATCACCTGACTCAGCCACAAGTTTCTGTTCCCTACTAGTGTGAGAATTTGACTATTAAAAATCAATAATTTATAGATGTTACTGTCTGCAAAATGGTACACTTCCAATTTCCAAACTTTATGGTAAAACTAATGTAAAAATACTTTGTTTTTGTTAAATGTAGTCTAAGCTATAGAGTAAGAATGGATTCATAATTCATGATGCCAGAAAGAACTTCAAACAGCAAAATATGTTTAACAAGTATCTTGGCAAGGCACTGTAAACTGAAACACAAAAAGCATCATAATTTATCCCAGATTACCTTGTTTCTGCTTACTTACAATTTGCCAAGCTGCTTTCCTCTGCATTCATCACTAACGACAACATCTTCTACTCTTCCTCTCTGAAAATATTGACCATGTTTAAAGGACTAAGCATGAAGTTTTGTTTTTCATTGAATCAACAAGTGATGGATGGTAAAAATTCACTGACAAAAATAAATGTTTTATGAACTTGAACTTAAACTAAAATACAATTTTATAGAAGAAATAAATCAACTTGTGGTCTAATCTTGTTTTGTCTATATCCTAAATCTCCACATCCCAATGTTTTAAAGCAACTCTCAAAATCTGAAGCACCAAAGGGTAATTTTGGTTATCTATTATCCTACTTCTTGTTTAATAGGAATTTATTTCAGACATCCAGATACAATTTATTAATTTCTAATATAAAGGCCCCAAAATTACTAACTTACAGAAAACATTCCAAATGTCCCTACCTTTACAGTTCATGTTCAGTCATGAGGAATAAAGGGGCTCTATAGGCATTAGAAATGTCACAATTAGAAAAGAAAGTGGTATTTTGAACCTTTTACCACTTGGAAACTGATGGGAATTTGTTTTAATATAGCATATTGAAAATACTGTGTTTTTTGCCGAGACCAGTTTGGCTCAATGGATAGAGTGTCGGCTTGGGGACTGAAAGGTCGCAGGTTCGATTCCGGTCAAGAGCATATACCTTGGTTGCAGGCATATCCCCAGTAGGGGGTGTGCAAGAGGCAACTGGTCGATGACTCTCTCATCGATGTTTCTAACTCTCTCTCTCCCTTCCTCTCTGTACAAAATCAATAAAATATATATTAAAAAAAAAAAAAAAAAAAGAAAATACTGTGTTTTTTATAAAAACAAACCAAGAAACAAAAAAACCAACATTGGGGTGTCTAAAGATTACTGCCAAGTTTCATAAAGCTTTCTTGTTTTCTGTATGACCATATAAGATTGAATACTTTACAGAACAATTTCTAGCAAACAATTCATACTGTGTATTTTTTAAATATATTTTTATTGATTTTACAGAAGAAAGGATAGGGAGAGAAAGAGAATCATTGATTGGCTGACTCCTGCACATCCCACACTGGGTATTGAGCCTGCAACCTGGCTGAGAATTGAACTATAACTTCCGGTTCAAAGGTCAACACTAAATCACTGAGCTACCACGCCAGGTCTAATTCATATTGTTAGTACATTTTTTTCCTCATAGCAAAGGAAATTGCCTCTTACTAAGAGATTTCTAGGAAGCAAAACTTTTTCAGAGCAAAATGCCTCTCATTTTACAATGAAGAGTAGTGAGAAAACAGATTTGTGTAATGGAAACTCAACACAGGTTTTGCTAAAAAACAAAACAAAAAACACCTGCCCATTTTAGCTCATTAGCATTAATGTGAACACATACCTTAGCACAGGAATGGGTGAATTTATGTTCTATTATCAGAGTTGCTGTAGCAACAATCTGTCCTAAAGTCACATCTTCCACCACTGTAACATAATAATCCCCAGATTTCTTCATGTGCTCAAAAGATTCTGTGGAAATTAAGATAGTGTTATGTAGCAGACATTACACTGTATTAGGTGGCAAAAAAATAATAGGACTAGCTGACTTCATTATTGAATATTTATATTTCACCACAGTAGTTTGTATTTTCTTTTTTATTGATTTTTTACAGAGAGGAAGGGAGAGGGATATAGAGTTAGAAACACTGATGAGAGAGACACATCAATAAGTTGCCTCCTGCGCATCCCCTACTGGGGATGAGCCCGCAACCAAGGTACACGCCCTTGACCAGAATCGAACCTGGGACCTTTCAGTCTGCAGGCCAACGCTTTATACACTGAGCCAAACCGGTTTCAGCTGTATTTTGTTTTAAGAAAATACTTTAAATGACCAGGTAGTTGAGATATCAGTGATCAGTAAGTTGGAATATAGTTCATACATTTAAAGAGTATGCTAGCAAGGTAAAATACTAATCCAGTCTTTTTAGGTGAATATTCTATATGTACCACTTCTGTGACTAAAATCATTATTCAGTTACTTTAAATCGGTTTCTTGAACTTTTACATCAGCAGATATTTGATTAGAATAAAACCCTGCAAATTTTAAACAAAAGAATGTTTTTACATGGCTCCATTCTATAATTTTTAGTATGGTTTCTAAATATTTTGGTGTAAGTTCTGTTTTCTTGTGATCTCAAGTGTTTCATGATTATGTGACTTTTTAGAAATTACAGTAACCATTTTGTTTTCTTTGAAGGCACCTCATGAAGTATTATAGTTGAAAAATATGTCTCCATTTCTAAGTAAATGAATATGATAGAATAAGAAAGGAAAAGACCTATAAAGACAATCAGGAAAAAAAGGGCAATAACATACCCATCAATAACTACTTTAGAGGGCCTGGTCAAGATGGTGGCATACGTAAACATGGTACTCGCATCCTCCCACAACCACATCAAAATAAAATACAGAACCACTTGAAATCTAGCTGAACGGAAGTCCTACAACTAGAGAATTAAAGCAGCAGCACATCCAGGCTGATAGGAGGGGTGGAGATGAGGGGTAGAATAGTGGAACCAGTTGATCCCACACCCACATGTGTCAGTTTCCCTGAAGAGGAAGGGTCCCTGCCCCACACCAGGCCCCTATCCCAGGATTCCAGTGCTGGGAAGAGAAGCCCCAAAACTTCTGACTTAAGAACCAGTGGGGATTGTGGCTGAGTGACATGGAGGCTGTGGGAGTCCCAGGCAGTTCCTCTTAAAGGGCCTTTGCATGGTCTTGGACTTCCCCCTGAGCTACAGCATTGGGAAGCAGCTTGAAAGGAAACTGGGACATTTAGGAATTGTCTGGAATCAGGACAAGAGCTGGAGGGACAGCTTTAGAGGCCACTGTTTCTTTACTGAGCACTCCCTGCCACAGATGGACAAGCTGTGCCATATCTGAATCTCCATCATCCTGGCTCACTTTTCACCCTGCCTGGTGATTTCCTGAGGCCCCACCCCCTCCCTACTTGCAAGCTCATCCAAGTAATTTCCAGTGACTTTTCCATACAATCAGCCCCTCTCACCTCATGCTTTGGACTTTCCTAAAATCTTACAAATAAGTAGCAGCTGGCACCCACATACCCCAAACCTCTCAGTAAGTGGCCCGAGGCCTGGCATTAGTGGCAGTCTATCCTTGTCTACAGGTTGGCCTCTTCTGGACACCTCCAAACCCAACACAAGTAGCAGCCTATGCGGATTGCTTGTAGTTCATGCTGGGTGGCCCTGGGCAGGACAGAAGCAGAGGCTGACTTTGCACCTCCTAGGGGACCCCAGAGCCAGTTTACCCCATGTTCAACTTGGACCACACCAGACTACAACCCTCCCACCTCCAGGAATGGCTCAAGGGGTGGACTCAGCACCAAAGCCCCACTGAAGCAAGTCCTGCTCCATAGCATTGGCACCTGCCTCTGCTGTAGTGGCAACTGGTTCTCACAGCTGATCAGCCTGGGGCATCAATCCTTCCCAGTGATGCCAACAGTAATCAAGGCTTAACTAGAATAGGACAGTGCACACAACTCACACAAAGGCAAACTTAGAGTGCTCAGCTCTGGTGACTGGGGAGGCTGATCCACTGGGCCCTACAGAACACCTACTACAAAAGGCCATCTACCAAGTCCAGGAGACAGCTCTAATACATGGAAACAAACACAGGGAAGTATCCAAAACGCTGAAACAAATATGTCACAAATGAAAGAACAGGAAGAAACCTCCAGAAAAAAGCCTTGATGAATGTAAGCAAGAAATACAGAGTTCAAAGCAATGGTTATAAGGATGCTCAAGAAACTTAATGAGAGCTTCCAGGAACTTAGAATTTCAAGGAAATTAGTGTGAACATCAACAAATAAAAAGAGGACAAGTCATAAATGAAGCATACACTGATATAAAGAATAATTTACAGGAGATCAACAGCAGAGTAGAGATGCCAAGAATCAAATCAAGAATTTAGAATATAAGGAAGCAAAAAACACCCAATTAGAATAGCAAAAAGAATAATAAATATAAAAAAATAAATGAACAAGAAATCTAATGAATAAAACGGAACCAGAAGCATAGAAACATGGAATTAACTGACAAATCTAAGAGGGAAGTGGGTGGGGCAGTGGGGAGAAATTAACCAAAGATCTTATTAATATATGTATACTAGAGGGGGTGGAGGTTGTCCCCTCAGCCCAGCCTGCACACTCTCCAATCCAGGATCCCTCTCACAATCTTGGACTGCAGGCTCCTAATCACCTGCATGCCTGGTCGTGCCTAACTGCCCACTACACATAACTATGTATGGTGCCAGATGGGTACTTGAAATATTGGGGGAATACTTTCTAAAGCATACGACTATCTAACCACTATGCACTTAAAACTAATACAAAATAGTACTGAATGTCAACTGTAATTGGAAAAAAATTTTTTAAAGAGACCAAAAATAGCTAATTAGCTATTTGAATAATTTCTATTTGAACAAAAATACATAAAGTATAGATAGAACAGATCTCTAAACAAAAATAAAATATTGTTTCCCTTTATTTCTTTTCATTCAGAAAAAAAAGTAGTACTTACTCATAAATTGTTCAGGATTGACAACTCCAGTCTCTGTCAGCTGACCTAGTACCTTAAAAAAACCTAGTTTTGCAAAAACAGATTTTCAGTCATGAGAAGAGCAAATGAAAGAGATATCAAATGAGGCAATATATTAAATAAGCATGTGAGATGAGCAATTTTTAAAAATTTTAATGATTTTAAAATTACTTCAAAAGATTAAATTAAAACCCTTTATTCTTTCTGTAATCACTACATAAAACAGAAAAATAGGTTTAACCAAAGTTTTTCCCTGCATAAGATTTTTGGAATAGTGTTAATGTTCAATATGTTCAATATTTATAAGACCAGCATGTACATTTCTCAATGTAATCTGAATTAAATACAATGCAAAGGATGCTTCATATTCCAAATATGTGCTTTGGTTTTACTTAAAAGTGCAAGATTCTCAATGACCAAATATGATACTATATAAAATATAAATAAGTGTACAATTTTTAATTTCATTCATGTTAATGTGGCACAGCACATTTTAGAACTTTGAGAATCTTTTTTTTTTTAAAGATACTTTTTATTAATTTCAGAGAGGAAGAGGGAGAGGTCCAAACATCAATGACGAGAGAGAATCATTGGCTGCCTCCTGCATGCCCCCCATTGGGGATCAAGCCTATAATCCGGGTATGTGCCCTTGACCAGAATAAAACTCAGGACCCTTCAGTCCACAGGCCTATCCTCTCTCTATCCACTGAGCCAAACTGGCGAGGGCAAACTTTGAGAATCTTAATGTCTATACAGTCAAAGACAATTTGACCAAAATTAGTTTCATATTTCCTACCAAAGGGAAAACGGACAAAATTGACTTTTGGTTACAAAAATTTAAGGAAATCATTTTGGAAAATATAGATGTTAAAAAATGAAGTAACAAGTAGACCTTTTGCATCTTATTCAAGGCAAATTATCTCTATTCTTATCACCCATCCAGCTTCTAAAAGAAAATTCTTCCTTATGTGCCATTACACATGATAATTTCTACTTTTATAAGAAATCTATTGGCCTTTCATAGGAAGGAGCAATGTTATATTATACTTTAGTCATTTGAAGTATTTCACAGTAATATATGGTCTTAGCCATGACACATACACATTGGAATTGTGGTTCTCAGTCACTTTAAAAATGAAATACAAAACATAATCTAAAGTCAAGTAGTATTTTTTTAAATTATCACTATCATGATTTTTGTGGAGAAAACAGAATGCTAACTACAGTTCTAACCAGGGTTGGTAAACTTGAGTGCATACCTCTATTTAAATCAGCAGTACAAAGAGGCCTCAAAACCAAACCTTCTCCAGGATGAGTTGGGGAAATGGCTGGAGAAAATGTAGCTGTATTCTGGCTCCAGTCCACTTCTTGGAGTAGACGTGGGTCAAACATAGGCGTTTCATCAGGTTTCATCTTTGCAGTAAGACCTAAAATAAAATTTTAAATGTTAAGGCAATTTAAAAAAATATATTCTTGTTGATTTCAGAGAAGAAGGGAGAGGGAGAAAGAGAAACATCAATGATGAGAGAGAAGCATTAATTGGCTGCCTTCTGCACGCCCCACACTGGAGATCAAGCCTGCAACCTGGGCATATACCCTTGACCGGAATCGACCAGGGATCCTTCAGTCTGTAGGCCACTGCTCTATCCTCTGAGCAGAACCGGCTAGGGCAAAGCATTTTATTTAATTAAAGGAAAGTTACTATGATTGCTGTACCCAGTTAAAGAAGATATTCTATTTGACACCTGCCTCTAGCTCTATGTTGCACAGATTCGTGGGGCATGACCTGTGGGGATTGGTCCGCTGTGGGAGCGCCGCTCATCCAGGTCAGCCAAGCGGTGCCCCCACTGTAGGAGCGCACTGACCACCAGTGGGCAGCTCCTGCGTTGAGCGTCTGCCCCCTGATGGTCAGGGAGCATCACAGCAACTGGTTGACCAGTCTTTCCGGTCATTCTGCCATTCAGTTGCTGGGCTTTTATATATTTGGATACAGTAATAAAAAAAAAAAAGCAATGCAGGAAAAATTAATGTCAGAATAATTTCCCCAACAACCCAGTTTCCAGCTGTTTCTTATTTTATAAATCACAATATGCTTAAGGGCAACTCTTTTAACTTTTCCTTAAAGGTTGATTGAATTTCTGCCTGTATAACCCGATGTAACTTAGAGGTAATGCTGTAGAGTAATAGACGCTTTAGGAAGGTGGGATACTGTAATAATAGAAACTAACATTGTTCAAAGAACTTGATACCCTAGTAATTCAATTACTTTGATAGTCCTACAGGGAAGGGATGATTATTATATCACCACTTTAACAGAGGAGGAATTGCAGGCAGACATGTGCACTAATTTACACAAGGTCACAAAATTAGTGGAGCCAGGATTTAAACATAGGTGTGGAAAGAGCATGAGCTCTGGAATCAGACCTGGTTCAAATGTCAACAGTGTGACCATGGCTAAGGTAGGTAGTTAAACTCTGAGAATTTGTTTTCTCACTTATAAAATGGAGGAAATTACTGGCAGGATGAAATGAACTACTGTATATAAGCACCTAACAGTGCTGCCACATTTCAAGTGTTGAATAAAATATCAGCAATTAATTTAAAATTTATGTTTATAAATTCTTAATTTTTTTCATGTTTAAATTAATGAGCTGGGCACTATGTTGGGTACAGGTGTTATAAAAAGAATGACAGAGTGTCTATTATATTTATGTTAAACTAATAATTAGTATTCTTGGATAGGAAGGAAGAAATTTTTTTTTAAATCACAGTTTTTTTCTTTAATTTTCCACCTCAAAAATGATTCAGATCACAGCCAAGGGCATATGAAAAAATGCTCAAAGTCACTGATAACCAGAGAGATGCAAATTAAAACGACAGTGAGGTGTCACCTCACACCTGTCAGAATGGCTACCATCAACAAATCAACAATGACAAATCCTGGTGAGGACTGGAGAAAAGGGAACCCTAGTACACAGCTGGTGGAATGCAGACTGACGCAGCCATTATAGAAAACAGTATGGAGTTTCCTCAAAAAATTAAATATGGAACTTGAAACACTGATCAGAAAGAATGTATGCACCCTTATGCTCATAGCAGCACAATTTACAATAGCTCAGATCTGAAAACAGCCCAAGTGCCCATCAGTAAATGAGTGGATAAAAAAGCTGTGGTACATTTATATCATGGAATACGATGCAGCAGTAAAAAAGAAGGATCTCTTACCCTTTGAGACAGCCTGGAGGGACCTGGAGAGTATCAAGTCAGTTAGAGGAAGACAAATATCACATGATCTCACTCATATGTAGAATCTAATTAACAAAATAAACTGATGAACAGAGAGGATCCAGAGACCTGGAAGCATGGAACAGGGTGCAGGATCTCAGAGGGAAGGCGGGGGTGGGGGTGGGGGGTAATCACCCAAAGACCATGTGTACATGTAAACATAACCCATGGACACAGACAATAGGGTGGTGAAAGCCTGGGGGGGTGGGGAGGGCTGAAGGGAATTAATGGGGGTGGGAGAGAGGACATAGGTAATACTTTCAACAATAAAGATTAAAAAATAAATACATAGATCAAAAAAGCAACCATGTTTGTTACATGTTGCTTGGGGTAAAAAAGAGAAATGAAAACTTAAATGAAACTCTCAAGTGTGGCCTGAAAATTATTCTGGAAGAAAATAAAGAGAAGTTTCCTTCAAATAAATAAATAAATAAATAGTAAGTGGACCCAGAAAAAAAAAACAAAAAAAAACTCAGGTCATATTATATCCTAAACAATACTATACCTGGCTCTAAGAATAGTAAGGGAAGGAAATAACTTTTGATGGTTAAAACAATCATTTCTATCAATTTAACAAGCTTACAGTCCTTTTGAGACTTTTTTTCCCCAGATAAACAATTTTTTTTTTTTTTTTTTTTTTTAGTATATATACGTCTCAGGTGGGAACATATTTAATCTGGCAAACCTACGAAACATTTTTTATAGGTTAATTTTAGTGCAAGTATCTTAGTGTTTGTCCCTGATAAATGGGCCCCTGAGGCTTACAGGTCTATTTTTATCTGAAAGATGGGTAACAATGTTGTATTTTAAGTATGCAGATTAACAGGCTAAATATTTATCAATTAAGTAAAATGGGTACATTAAATTCAGGTGCCAGAAAGTATTAATTTAACTTCCTCATGGCAACACATTACTTAAACATTTTGATGTTCATGTTATTTAACAAGTTGTAACCACGAAGTTTAAAAGAAGTTCAGAGGGGAGTGTAGATGAACATGAGAGACAATTTTAGCCTGGTCAGCATGGCTCTGCGGCTGAACTTTGCCCTATGAACTAGGAGGCCACTTCCATTCCCAGTGAGGGCCCATGCCTGGGTGGCAGGCTCGATCCGCCAGTGTGGGGCATGCAGGGGGCAGCCAATCGAGGATCCTCTCTCATCACAGAAGTTTCTCTCTCCCCCTCCCCCTCCTCTTCCTCCTCTGAAATCAGTATTTAGAAATCAATGATACTTGCTAAAATGTATTGAGTGCTTTCTGTTTGTTAAATCAAAAACACAATGTATATGTATCATTATTATTCTCATTTTGCAGACCAGGAAGCAGGCATAGCGACTTGCTTAAGATAAAGAATCAATAAAGAAGAGACGTAGGATTAAAAAACGGGCGACAGGGCCAACATCGTGGCTGCACAGGGCCCCACACCCGGATTGCCTGCTGCCACGTTCTTGCCTTTACAAGGCCCACGTATGCCTAACCTGAGCCCGGTAAATGCCTAGAGAATGAATAACGAATGGTGCTAAGACTTACCTGGAGGTTACAGTTCAGAAAATCCAGAAGGAGAAAGGTTTGCAAATTGCCGCAAGCGATAAAACAAAAACCATACACCAAATTCAATGTTTCTAGGATCACTTCAGGTTTTCATTCCGCTGACTATTTTTTTGGATACAATTCCAACAATTGGGTTTGCCAGCCTCTATAGCAGACCCGGATACAAATGCGGAGGAGCTGCTGCTAGAAGCAAGCAACTGAAAGCAACAAGTAATAGGCAATGGGAATGAAGATTTTAAAGTTGATTTTAAAACTTTCTTATGTATTTCAAGAGCTCCCTCATTACGTTGTGAATGGGGGAGAAGAGGGATTTGTGCCGGTTGGGACTAGTGGTTAGCCTACATACATTTTATAACAGTTTGGATTTTTAATCTAAAGAACATCCCATTTGCTGATGACTTCCATAAGCTTGGCCACATTACTAAAACTGTGCAATTACACTTCACTTGGGAATTTTTAAAAATATTTCTTGGTGGTTTTATCTTATCCTTGTAATCGAGGCATCCCTTCCCAGTCTGTGGACCAGGAAACTGAACCACGTTGGGGCTTCAAGGAATGGACCTCACCGTGGCACACGAATGAGTGGACGGGACTAGAATCCTATCTTGTTTTCCCATCTGGGCTCTAATGACCATATTAAACTGACACCAGTCTTAAACGTCATCATAGGATTTAATAAAAAAAAATGTAAACAAACAAACATCATCATAGGTAGCTTTGTCTCCCCATACTAAAAAAAAAAAAAAATGCCTGCGGCTCCTGCCTAAAAAGAGCTAAAGCATTCTTCAGATCCATCCCTTGATTCGCCCGCCCGTAAGCGGATATCTCAACAGCACTAACCCCATAGCCGCCTGTTTCATTGAGTATGAAACGGAGCTCGGTTTTTACACATAGACATAAGCTCCTATTAGAAAAAAAAAAAAATCACAGTACGCAGTGTTTCTAGGGGTAGAGGCCCCGTGAAAAAGGACAAAGGATGCCCCCGTCCCCGCAGGGAAAGCAGGATGCAGGCAGTGAGTGCAGCAGGTGAGCTTAGGAGCAGGAGCCTGTCCTAGGTGGCTCCCGGCCGCGCGGGGTGCACCTGGGAAAGGAACGGGGTGCGGAGGGGTGGGGTGGTGAGGAGGGGGCTGTGCGCTTCGCGCCCATTCAAAACCGATGGCGACAGAGACTGAGCAGCCGTCTGGATTCCCGTGCCGAAGCCTGGTGTGCAAAGAGCCGGTTTCTACCCCGGCCCCAGCTCGGGCCCGACCAGCGACACCCTGGCCAGGCAGGGCCACTGCCATCACCGCTTCCCTCCCCTCCGCCGCCGCTCCGGGCGCGTGTCTGTCCGCTCCACTGGCTCCGAACCGCGCTGCACAGCCTCGTGTGCACGCCCCCGGCTGCAAGGGTGAAAGCGGGCTCCCCACGCGGCGCCGCCTGCTTTCTTCCCCCCCGGCCCCGGGCCCACCCCGCCGCGCCCGGCGGCCGCGCACCTGTTGGATGGACCCAAAGGCAGGCCCGCCGCGGCCCCAGGACCCCGGCGCGCCCCGCCTCGCTCCCGGGCCCCCAGCCCTCCTCACCTGGAGGCCCCGCACTCCGCGC